TAAGGCCTTAGTTTTATTTTGAAGAATTCAATGCCTTTTAAGACTTTTTAAGGACCCGCGGGAACCCTGTGTGGTTAATAGCCTGTGGCTACCATCATAGCTCGCTGCTAATATACTAGCGTTAGCCCAATTGCTGTAGCGTATTTATGGCCTCTTGGCTAGCTGTTGCTACCTCTGGATTAACAGTCATCGCTGCTAAGCCACCGGTTGCCGTGGAAACAGAAACATGGCGTTTCCCACATCACCACTCGTTTTCATAAACACTTCAATGCTGTCACATTACATTGTGTTTATTGGTAAAAATCATTGGATTAAGTGAAACTTGACTGATTTGACCATTACTAAAGACAATTGTCCCACATCTGTTTGCTATATATCATTTCTGCTGCTAATCTGATGGACATTCCCACAGTGCATCACAGCTCTACCTCAATATAAGACTACCTCAAGAACTCATTTAAAATATTTTATTTTTTCTTATTCTTTCATGTATTCTGTGTTTATTCCAGTAGCTTATAGTGTTTGCATCGTTTAATAAACATAATAATACTGTGATAGGGATGATTAGGTTCCATAAATAAAGCACCCCTTCTGTTTTAATTATGGTAGTCTGTGATTATCTATACAGCAGGGATCGGTTGTCTAAAAAGAGCAAAAACTTGAATAGACAAAGATAAATATTTTCCTTCTGGTTAATGATGAATAACTCTGCTTGAAATGTAAAACAAAATATTGACATTTACTGATGGTAAAGACATCTTTGATTTTAACAGCGGGTCCAAAACATCCAAGCACAAAGGTTAGCGGTTAATAACACCTGGTAATTGAGTTAATAGTCAGTTATAATCATTTACCTAAAGATCATTACTTGGTTTTACTCTTGATTAGAATAACATATTAAATAATTATAACTTCAGGTTCTAGTTTATATATTCATTATCTGCTTGCCCAACAAGGGTAGAAAAAATATATATAAAAAAAAAGTTCAGCTCGAAAGAAAGAGGCCATGAAAATCAATTAAAAGCTTATCATGCTGATTGACCAAACTCACCTCGACCTTGATAATTCCTGCCAGGAACAGGGCCCCAAAGATAATCAGCAAGGAGCCAATCAGGAACAGGATTGCAGCCACACCAATTGCCTTGTATGGAATCTTTGGGGGATTCTTCTTGAACTAAAATCAATATTTGGTAAACAGAATTAAAGGTTTGCTGAATTTCAGACAGGATGCTGAGCTTATATGCAGCACACTGTATGCCTTTTTTATGCAGTCTATATCTACAAATTATGAGACACAGAGAGAAAGAACCCTTAAAACCATAAGTACCACTGGATCCTATCTGAGTTTTCAATCACTTTTTAAAATACACCAGTGATAACACAGGCCCTTTGGTTTAGTCTCTCACCTGCAGGTCGATGTATCCATCGTCATCAGCAGCTACTCGGGAATACTTGACCTTGTTGTTGGATAATCCACCAGCTAACATGTTGCTTTCAGCTGCTGTCAGCGTGGCATAACAGCTGTTTGGGAAGAGAGATGCAAACCAGTAATTCTATTTACGCACTGGTTTTATATGTTGCATTCATTTGTTTCTGACCAATTCAAGAACCAACCAATCAAAGTATAAATAAAATCTGAATTTGATTCAAGTATCAACATTCACATTTAAACATATTTCTGTCCATCCATCCACTAATCCAACTATCTGCACTGGAACAAATTGAAATCTAGATAATTCTTTTTTTTTTTTTATAAGTGCATTTGTTCTTGGATTGAGGAGGTAAAAGAGACATTTTGCCAATGGAAAAAGACAATTTACACTTAAAATAATAAAACACAATTGCATTGTCTTATTTTGAGTGCATATTATCCAATTATCTTATTTTAAGAGTAAAAAAACTCATTCCATTGGCAAACTATCTCATTAACCTACTCAAATTAAGGGTAAGTACACTTAATTTAAGAAATGTTTACTTATTTCTAGATCATGAGGTTCCCCATCACTCTATGCTTAATTCAGTCCAAACATGCATACATACATACATCCATATGTCCACTCCAATTTCCAACAGGTCATAGTCGTTTTTTTATGCATATTCAAAATTAAAATACCCTCATTGCCATTTTTACCAATAATCTACATGCGAATAAGAGAGTCTGGAACAAGCAGCTCTCAGAGATCCCCTGCAGTTTGCATATCATCATGGAGTTGAAGATGCCATCATACACCTGCTTCTGCAAATCTACCGTCCCTCGGACGAGGCAAAAACAGCACTGTGAGGATCATGTTCTTTGATTTCTCCTTTGCATTTAACAATATTCTGTCTGATTCTCTTTCAGAAACTCCAGAAGACTCAGATGGAGGCATCAACAATCGCCTGGATTTAAAGACTACCTGACAAAAAGACCAGTCTATGAGAAAGAGGCACCACAGGGGACAGTACACTTTAGACTATCAATACATTACAGACTCATGTAATTTGCAGAAATACTTGGATGACTCTGTGGTCAGAGATGGACAAGAAGCTGAGTACAGCGAGCTGGTGATTGGCTTTGTGGTATGGTATGGAAACAAGCATCTGATCTTTAACACGGACAAAAGAAGGAAGATGGTCGTAAATTTAGAATCAGGAACAGACCAAACACTATTAGCATCATGGGAGAAGAAGTGCAGACGGTAGTGGAGCATAAATACCTCAGTGTTCACCTAGCGGCAAACTGGACTGGAAACGCAACTATGAAGTCGTCTGCAAGAAGAGTAAGAGCAGATTGTACTTCTTAAGAAAGCTAAGGTCTCTGTGTTTGCAGCAAGATGCCACATATCTTCTATAAGTCCATTGTGAAGAGTGCAATCTCTTCTGCCACCTTTTGTTGAGGTAACAGCATCAGAGCAAATGGCTTAAAGATGCTTTAAAAGCTGATTTAAAAAAAGTCTGGCTAGAATGTATGTATATAGATAAGGTTCAAGCCTTCTATGGTGGTTAAAAAAAAACTGATTAAAACAGTTTGTCCTTACAGCTGTAACTTCCTCTACTTCAAATAAACACACTTTATCAAAGTTTGGTTCAATACGGTAAATGATTTTTTTCAAGTTAACTACTTCTTTCCTTTTTCATCCCTCTTTTATCATGTGGAAATGTTAAGCACTAACGCAGTGTAAGAGCTATCAGGAGATATCCTCGAGTTATTGAGCTTACATCCTGTTTTAACATGTTAAAAACCCAGACATAAGCTAAACATTATTTTAGGAAGAAAACGAAAAGAAATAGCTGCATCATATCCTGGAAAAGGCCAGTCGAGTAAGGACACCATGAAAGGCACCTATTATTCCGTCTGTTCATTTCCACTGTGTCACTAGCGCATAATTATGTAGAGAGTTGAGGAAAAGTAAAGTTTCAGCTAACTGCCACATTGTTTAATATGCTTACAAGTGTCTACAGAGATGTCTAGCGTTTCTTTTATTCATCGGAGTGAAAGAACAGGGAATAAGTTATTTGATTTTACTCTTAAATGGTTCCATAGCTTCCCCAATGTTTATGTGCAGATAAAGTTGCATATGTATGCTTATTTAGACTCAAATTAGGCTATTTAATCTTATAAATACTGAAAACATCAACATAATGTCAAATGTAAACACTGTGGGAGAAAAAAAAGTGCTGAATGATTCAA